CTTCTTTTAACGTTTCCCCAAATTTAATGCAAATTCAATTGCTCACATTTTTCTTCACACCCCACCACCCCCGGCTTTTGCTCTAAACCTTTACTCGCAAGACTCGAAAGAAATGTGAAACCAACTGATTTTCATTTGGTGTATATGAATGACATTACTCTCACACCATGTTTGGCTAGTTGTTACATTTGACCAAATTTATGTTTCCTCTATCTTATTCAACTTTACCATTTCATTTTTAAAAAGGTTTTAAAAAGATGTTGAAAAATGAAGGTTATATGACAAGAAGTGGGAGACATTTTTTAGGATGTCTAAAAAAGAAAAAGCGGGGTAAGAATTTTAAGGCGGAGGAAGTATATTCTACAGTTAAGTCCAATTAATATTATTAAAAAATAATAACCATTAAGGATATCTTATTTCATATTCGAGCAATCGTATAACTTTAATTTGGAGAAAGACTAAAATAAAATTAGGACATGTGAAAAGAATAAAAAAGGATTTTTATGATTTTATTTTCAGTATAAGACTTATAATACCAATAACGCTAGACCTGGCAAAAAATGACCCGACCTGTTTTTGACCCGACCCGAAAAAACTGGGTTTTGAACAAAGGTTTTGCTGACCAAACCCGAAGTTGACCGAACCCGAAATGACCCGCTAAAAATGGGTCAAACCCGACCGAACCCGAACCCGACCTGACCGACCCGCTAATCTAAGATTTTTTCAGAATCATACATTTTAGTATGAAATACAGTGTTATAAAAATAAGATTATGATTATATTTCTTTGCTTTCTACTCATTTTTCGTGTATAGATTTATAACATAATAACAAATTATTATGATGTTGCATACTTATCTTACATTTTTTCAAAATTTCTACATTTTAAATTTTTTTTATTCGTAATATTTTCACTAAGTCATAAAAATTACTTAAAATTTCAAAATAATAAACGAAACTCATAATTCATTGGGTCAACCCGAACCCGATGACACTGGGTCATGAACATGTAGTTATCAACCCGAACCCGAACTTAACCGAACCCGAACTAACCCGAACCCAAGGTGACCGAACCCGAACCCGACCTGACCGACCGATTTGCCAGGTCTAAATAACGCTAATAACACCGAAAAATATTATAGAATATCAATATATAGTGTCACATATTCATATTGCAATAATTTTAGTTTAGGGTTAATGATTAAGTTTTAATCCTAATTTGAGTGATTTCTTCTTTGATTTTGCTCTTTTCCTATTTTCTAGTAAGTTTACATTTAAATACCTCCATGTTATTTTGCATGAAAATTCCCTCCATAGGAGTTAAAGAATAATGCTTTACCTGAATAGAGTATGTTAGGCTACAATACGTTCTAATATAATTTTTTATTTGAGAAATTTACTTAAATAGGACTAAAACATAATGACTTTCCCAATATAGGACCATATGTTTTTATTTCCCAACGTAGGACCTTTGCTCATTATGAAGTAGTCATTATTCAAGTAAATGTCCATCATTAGTGGACATTATTCCTCACACTAGGTCATTATTAAGTCCTATTTAAGGAATAAAAAAGTTTAAGTCCTACATTATGAAAGTCATTATGTTTTAGTCCTATTTATTGCAAATTTCACTTTTTTTTATAATTACTTTTTTCATTAAAATTGGATTGTATCATATCCACTCAAACTTATTCGGATCAGGCTAATTCTATTCAAATCAGATAAAACCTAAAAAATGTTAAAATTATTGACAATATTTTTTCTAGGATCAAATAATAACTATTCTATGATTAAATCATCTTACATTATTTAATGTTACATACAATTAAGAAATTATTAGTAGAAAATGGAAATAAAACATTTAATATGCACATGTACAATGCCACATTGCCGCGAACTCCTATTTAGAAAAAATAAAAACATGAAACTCATATTTTGGTATTTTTCTATGTTTTACTCCTATTTAGATTGACTTATTTTATTAGTATTATTATTATGTTACATACAATGAAATATTAATAATAAGAAAAATAATAATAATAATAATAATAATAATAATAATAATAATGTTATAGGAGTATATGATTAAGTAAACTTAAATTATTATTATTATTTTGTATTATTATAAATATTATTTTAGTAATAATAGTAATAAAAGAATTTTTAATAATAATATTCACTCTCTTTGTCCTATAAAAAGTACTCCCTCCGTCCTATATCTTTCTTCTCGTTGCGCAAAACGAGAAAAATCCCAAGTTTTTTCAATCTATTTTATTTAAATATTGGTATAGAAATAAAAAATAAAACATGCATATTTAAAAACTATATCAAAAGTTGAACAAAACAAGTGGTGACAAGAATATTTTATTTTATCATATAGGCCATGAAAAAACACAAATAAATATAAATTCCCGTGAAGTTGGAATAGTACTCTGGGAAGAAAGTTTTAGGACGGAGGGAGTAATCCGTAACTCATTTGGTCTCCACGGATATTAAAAAAGTTGTTGAAAGATTTTAATGACATCTATAAATAAAAGATTATATTATCACAATTTCTAACTCGATTAGCACAACATTTACGTTTTTAACATGATTAGCACTACATCACAATTATTATTTTTGATTATTGTCAATAATTTTTTCCTCTATATTTTCAAGGTATTGTTAAATTGATTTTTTATGAATAAAAATTATCTGGTTATAATGCGTTGATGAATTAATAATGAAGTATATAAATAATCATCGTAATGTTAACAGATAATAAAAATATGGTAATAATTTTAATTTACATCAGATAAGATTAGATCAATTCAGATTGATTCAGATGATACTAACCTTAAAAAATTCTGATCAGAACAAATCAAATCATACAAATGGAAGGTAGCCTTAGCCCCAAAAATTCATTTACAGTTTTAAATGGGAAAAAATCAAATTACAATTTCCAAAATACAGCACACCCAACCCTTTGCCAATCGTCGCTAGCTAAAGTAACAACCTCCGCATCACTGTTATTTAAGACCACACTTTCATATGTCATTCATTGCATTGTCATCGGTAACTGACGTCGCGCCACCATATCTGGCCACACTTCCATATGTTGCCCACTCCACTGTCATGACATTGTACGTTATTGTCAACTCTCGCCACACTATCATCTAAAGTCACACTTTTATAATAAGAGTTTTGCCATTATGTCTAAAGTTTCACATGTAAAATGTAGACATTTTAATATATTTTTTATGTACTTATAATTTAAAAATTAAAATATACTTTGCTCTTAAATGAGGTTTTTTTTGCAATTAATGGCTTTCAACCAATTACATAGAAGTAACGGACAAACAGGAAACAAGCTGCGCCGCTACTCCCTTTTGAGTTTTGAATAGCAAATCAGAACTTACTAAAAACAAAGTTATGGGTCTTAGTGGCCGGGACATTACTATGCACGACTCGCTGACCTTGTTAAGGAACTCTACAACCTTTGGGGCTAGGGAACCAAATATATCAAAGGTAAATGAGATAAGAACCTGTTGATTTTATAAGAAAGATTTCCAAATATATTAAAAGGTATATGAGATAAGCACATGTTGATTTTATAAGAAAGATTTTTCGTGTTTAGTCACTTTCACTAATTCCTCCTCCAAAATTGTCTGGCCAACAACAAACTCATTAACTTGAGCCCAGCAAAAGTAGATTCACCTATAAGATCCACACAAGCATGTTTCCCTCTGCCTACCCAAACACAAGAATATCAGCAAGGCATTTAGTAGATCTCTCTTCAAACGGATTCGGGACCTATGGCGAATGGGGGTGGTATCCTTACTAGAGCGACCCTCAAATTTAAAATCTGGAAGGGACATATGCAAGTTTATAATTGGATTTTTTTATAAGACCCAATATATATAATCATTTTATACATCAAAATTAATAAAAATGAGTATAAATTTAAAAGTAAATTCCATAATTGGTTTTTATAACAAGGAGTTTTCCATATTCAGTCATCTATTATCAAATATTATCCAGGTAGTCCTTCTTGTATGGCTATCTTTCTACAAATAATCTTTTTTCAATACTACTCCGTATTTGTAAAAAAATACCCATAATAGAAGGACTATCAAAGTAATATTTAATAATCAAAGACTAAATAGGGAAAACTCTTACTACGGAGTATAAAAGACCAATTAGATGATATTTTAATTTCCAAACCTTAAAAGGAATATGAAATTAAAATCGTAAAGTGGGAGGGTGAAATTAGGAAACTAGTTTTTACGTATTTAATGAATGGAAAATGTACGGAGAAATAAATCAATTAAATGAGAAAAGTAGGCATCTGGTGCAAGGCCTAGCTACTACTAGTATTTTGTACGGTTCTACAGGCCCCCCCCTAGACTCTCTCTCTCTCATTATTATTATCTATATATATATATATATATATATATGGGCTGGTTCTCATGAGAATGCACCTTGTGGAGAGAAATGAGAATAAAATCTAGCCGTCAGATCTGATGCATCGTGTGGCTAAGATTGCATCCTGCGCTCAGATTTTGAGATGGTGCATTTTCGAAGGTTTATGGTGCATTTCGATGTGATGCATTTTCGAACCATTTTGGTGCATCTAATTTTGATGAAATCTTGACCCTTAGATCTCACAATCCAAAGCACTAGATTCATTCTCATTTCTCTCCTAAGATTGCATTCTCACCAGAACCAATATATATATATATATATATATATATATATATATATATATATATATTGGTTCTGTTGAGAATGCAATCTTAGGAGAGAAATGAGAATGAATCTGGTGCTTTAGATTGTGAGATCTAAGGGTCAAGATTTCATCAAAATTAGATGCACCAAAATGGTGCGAAAATGCATCACGTTGCAATGCATCATAAAGCTTCGAAAATGCACTATCTCAAAATCTGAGCGCAGGATGCAATCTGAGCCGCACGATGCATCAGATCCGACGGCTAAATTTTATTCTCATTTCTATATATATATATATATATATATATATATATAAATAATTCCATCTTTGACTTGCTCCTCGTATTCTCCTCTCTCTCTCTCTTCTCTCTCTCTAATCCCAAAAGGCAAAGAAAAACCAAACGCTTAAATAAAGCAAATCCTCATACTGCCTTCCCACTCGCCACTTCTTTTGCATGTTCTCTCTTCCCCCCTCTCACTCTCACTTCACGTTTTCCCCTCCCCTTCATCCTCTCTTTGTATTCATCATCAATCAACCCAGAAATTCAATCCCCATCTGAATCTTCATCTCCATGGCCGTTGAAGCCACACATCTCCATCTCTTCCACCCCCAGCAGCAGCTCTCCCTCAATCATGGGTATGTATGCGATGCTCTGTTTCTTGATTTTCTTTTTCTTGTTTTTGTGTTTCGGATCTTTGTTGTGAGCTTCTTGGTCTGATGATGGGGGGCTTTTTTTTTTGGTTTGCAGAGAGTTTGGTGTGCAGGGGAGTCATCATCATCAGCTGGGATTCGGTAATGGGGAGATGAGATCGGCGCCGGCTCTGCCTTTCTCCCCCGCCGGCGTCGCTGCTTTCCCGGGGAGTTTTCTTCCCCTCCATCCGTCTCTCCTTCCCGGCGACCCTCTTCCGGCGAAGACTTCGCTCAACACCGAGAGCGGCCTCACTCATAATCTCCAGCAGGTTCCCAAAAAGAGACCCAGAGATTCGCCATCTCTGAACCCGCCCGCCGCCGCCGCTCCGGAGAAGAGAACCCAGATCCCATCTCTCTTGGGTGAAGAAATTCTGCCCGTAATCCAACAGTATCAGCTCGAAATCGACACCATCGTATCTCACCATGTAAGCCTTTTCAGATCCAATTTTTCCTTTTTATTATGGTAAAAGAATCTGGGTTTGGGGATTGACCCATCGTGTTTAATTGCAGGCGAAGAAGATGAAGATGGAATTCGAAGAGAGGCAGAAGAAGCAGGGGAGGATTCTGGCGGCGTCGATCGGAGAAAGGGTGATGAAGAAGCTCAAGGAGAAAGACGCCCAAATCCAGAGATTGGCGAAACTGAATTTCGCCCTCCAAGAAAAGCTCAAGAACCTCTGCGTGGAAAACCAGCTATGGCGAGATCTCGCCCAGTCCAACGAAGCCGCCGCGAACTCCCTCCGGTGGGACCTGGAGCAAGTCCTGGCCCACATCGGCGGCGACCGGATCTCCGGCGTGGGCAGGGCCGCGACGGAGGAGTCTTGCTGCGGGAGCTGCGAGGAGCCGGAGGTGGGAACACCGGCGGCGGCGGAGGAGAGGATGTGCCGGCGGTGCGGGGAAAGGGAATCGAGTGTGCTCCTGCTGCCGTGCAGGCATCTGTGCCTGTGCTCTGCTTGTGGGTCCACCGCCATGCCCAGAAACTGCCCCGTCTGCAACTCCGCCATGAATGCTACACTCCATGTTAACATGTCGTCTTCCTGATCAGATTTCGGGAAAACGTCACACCATAAACCAATAGAAAATTAGCAGAGGAACAGAAGTACGGACTAGTTTTTTCTTTTTCTTTTTCTTTTTTTTTAAACCTTTTTTTCTCTCTTTTCCATTTTTTTGTTTTGTTAATGTAGAAAGAAAGAAAAAGACCCCATCCGTATAAATCCTTTAACCGTAGGAAAGGCAATTGTTCATTCTTTCACAAGGAGTCTTGCTCTTGTTTTCTTTTTCTTTTTTTACCATTTTCCCTTTTTCATTTCGCGATCCTAAGAATTTTTTATGTTTTGACTTTTTTAAAATAGTAACACTTTTTTGTTACAAATTAAACATAATCTAAATAAGTAAATGATACTCCCTCTGTCCGCAATTTGATTACAAATTATGGGTTACGGAGTAAAATTTCCTACTTTTTGAAATCATTTTATTTACAAATTGGTATATCAATAAGATATAAAAATTAAATATTAAAAAACTACGTCAAAAGTTCTACAAAACAAGAGGTGACAAGAATATTTTATTTTATCAAATACTTAATGAAATCGCGTAAACAAACAAAAGTTATCGAGATGAGAGAGAAAAAAAAATTATAATCTATTTAGGGACGGAGGGAGTATAAAAATTTGATACTCCTTTCGTCCCAAATTTGATTACAAATTGGGTTACGAGTAAAAATTTCACTTTTTGAAATCATTTTATTTACAAATTGGTATATTAATAAGATATAAAAATCACATATTAAAAAACTCCGCCAAAAAATCTACAAAATAAGATATCAAATACTTAATGAAATTGTATAAATAAATAAAAGTTATCGAGAGGAGAAAAAAAATGTAATCAAAACATGGACGGAGGAAGTATATCAAAACTATATCCTAAAGTGAAGCTAAATATATTGAATTAATATTATAATTAAATATAATTTTTTCATAATTTGTGATAAAAGTGTGTCAGTATTTGACAAAAAAATTAAAACATGAAAGATTTTTAAAACGAGAGGGAGTATGTTCTAAGATATGGAGTATTTTTTACTATTTTCTACTACGGATTTTGCTTTCAAGAAATATGTATGCTTCCTAGTTTAAATATTCTTCTTCTTTTAAAAAGATTTATGGAGTAAGGCCATGTTTTCTTCACTGATCTGATTACTTTTGATCTGATTGAAATACATTCTAATCTGGTCTGATTAGATTTGATTCCAATAAAAATAAGTAATAAGTAAAAAATAAGTTAAGGATAATATGGCCTAAATCTTGAAAAAATATAAAAGAGTAAAAAAAGTTTTACTTGACACATAGTTTAGAAAAAATTAGTAAAATATGGTTTAAAGTAATGAGTGGAGAAGAAAAGATTAGAAGCCATTCAGCGTTTTGAAAGAATGAATGAAAGTATGAAACAATTTTTTTTTGGATGTCTTGAAAAGGAAATAAAGAGTCCTATTAGAGATAAATGAAATACGGAGTATAATTTTGTCTCCCATTAACATTGCATCTAATGTATCCTTATTATTAATTATTATAGAGAGAACTTTCTAAATAGAAGTAAAGAATTATGAGAATACTAAAATAGGAGTCATAAGTTTTTTATGATCAGAATAAGAGTACACACTGCCATTATTATAGTGCTACACTCAAAATCTTGTCACATTGTAACTCTCACACTGCCATTCGTCACAGCCAGCCACTGGAGTGCCGTCGCAAATCACCGATGGTTGACTAGTCACACTAACATATAACCCTGTCATCACTTTTCTATCACATTGTCACTGCGTACTCTTACCCTACATTACCATTATACTCCTATTTTGGTTTAAAAGACATAAGACATCTTATTTCAATATTATCATTCTTTTTTACTTCTATCCTAATAGATTTCGTATTATTATATTCCCTCATAAGTCTATTCTAAAATCTCATTTACATTGAACCTTTTGGTCATACATGATAAACTTTGATTGTGAATTCGTCATTTATGCAATATATATATATATATATATATATATATATATATATATATATATGTATGTATGTATGTATGTATGTATTTTTGAAACAGTCATTTTTATATAATTATATGTAAAATTAAAAAATACATTGACTATACATAATCTATGAATTATTAAGAACTTATAAAAAATCTTTTAAATTTTGAATCAAATACACATCTTTAATTTGAAAAAACTATTTTGGGAAAGCACTTCATTAGAAATGATCATTTTAAGAAATTATTATAAGTTTAGCGGATAATAATACCAAAATACCCCCAATTAATTGTCATTTGAGTAACATTATATACGAAGGACTATATTGGAAATAAATTTCAATTATAGAGGACCACGTATGTAATTAAAACTTATTGAGTGATAATTTGGAAAAACACTTTATTAGAGAGGATCATTGTAAAAATTCACTCTTTTTTCTAAAAACAATATTTGGGCGCGAAAATATTACTCCAGTGGTCTTGTTACTTTTGGAATATAAGAGAGTAATTCAAGAACTAAGAAAAGTTGATCGTGTGGTTGATCTTGACGTTAAAAATTTGAATAAATTTGACTAAGTATGAGATTTGACAAAAATATTGCCGAATGAAGAATTATTAAAATAAAGTTCCTTTAAAAAAAATTAAAATAAAGTTGTGAGATGATGAGAGTAAATGAGAAAAACTTTTTACCCATTTAAAATATAGTGAGGTTTTGGCCCAATATGTTATCACATCCCACTTTCAAAGTACATTTTGTTTTACCCGCTGGTTGGGGTTTTGCTTATTCGTCCACTTTGAATTTGTACGTATAGGTTGTTTTAGAAATATTCCAATTTTGAAGAAAAAGTTATAGCTACGCCCCTATTATTTACGGAGTACTAGTTTAGGTTTGAGGAGGAGGAATAGGGACGAGTCAAGATTGGCGTTTACCCCGGCTAGTGGATAGATGTCTAAAGATTTTTAATTTGGACCATGCTACACTTATACAAAAAAATGTACCCCATTTGTATACTACAGTTATGCACAAACATTTTGATGGTTTACACCGACACAAGTGTTGGTGCATTAACAAAAATTTACACGGACACCTACACAATGGTGCGTTAACAAAATTTGGTTTTACACCTACACAAAATGTTGGTGCAAACCTGCGGGGTACAAATTGGGGTATAAATATTGGGGTACACATAGCTTAATCCTTTTAATTTTATTTATATGGACATCTAAAATAAAGTTATCATTCTCTTTCACAAAAGGATGAATCCTATCTAGAAACTCACACAACACGGACCAGATAGTTAGCTAATTAAAGTAATTAATTAGGTCATAATATTAATCTCTTGGTGTAGGGACTAGGGATGGGGTTTCATCACTTTCATGCCCGATTTTTACAGAAGTCCCATTCTTTTGCATGATTGCCACTCATCGCGACCACTAGTAGGCTTCAAACTCGGGATCTCACTCTTGTAGCACCATATGCCAACCGTTGAGCAATGCCTCACGAGCTTTGTATTCTCTTTCATTAAAGAATTGTATGATTCTTGTTTAAGTATCTCATATCGATTCCTATATAAAAAGTATCTCATATCTTGAAAAACAATAAGTCATTATATATAAAGTTTGAGTTAAATTATGTAATCAATTAGATTTTGTTGGAAGAAGAATAGTTGTATTGCTCAAAGAATAATAAATACATAGCAGAGTATATATAGAAGAGATCTCAAGCATAATTAGAATTAAAAGTAGAAGTCAACTAAAATATAAAGTCTACCATAATTAAAACTACTTATTATTATTGTCTAACACTCCTGGCCTCAAATTGAATTGCGTGTAACAAGTGGAAACTTGGACACTAAACTCTAAGAACGTGGCACACGCAAAACTCTAGTCAGCAGACCAGCTAATTGATCTTTAGAGAAAGTATGAGATACACACATAGCTCCAACAATGACTCTTTCTCAAACAAAATGATAGTTTACCCCTAAATGCTTCATATGTTTGTGTAAAAATTGAATTCGTAAGGGTTTAACAATTTGGTTATTGTTAGTGTTATTATTGTTATTATTGCTATCATTATTATTGTTGCTGTTGTTTTCATTTGTATTATTATTATTATTACTATTATTATTATTAAGAAAAATTATCTAAAATAATCTCACGTTTATGCAATCTTTAAAAAATAATCTAAATTATCAATGTTAAGTGTAGTAATCCTACCTTTTTGCATATGTGTGAGTTTTTGGGTGGCCGTTAGAGATGCAACAGTGACAATTTGTACTAAATAGGACTAAACCATAAATCATTTCCCTATGTAGGACTTAATCTTTTTTATTCCTTAAATAGGACTTAATAATGTCTAGTTGAAGGAATAATGTCCAGAAATGATGGACATTTTCTTGAATAATGACTAACTGATAATGATCAAAAGTCCTACATTGAGAAATAAAAACATATGGTCTTATATGGGGAAAGTCATTATGTTTTACTCTTATTTAGGTAAATTTCTCTATTTTAAATTTTAAAAATTGACATTATATATGTTTGTAAAAACATAACAATACGCGTTATAAAATGATCGACAAACATGATGGGAGCCCACTCGTTCAACTCAGGTTCATCTTCTGGTTTGTTACGACCTCAACAAAATGACCGGCAAACATGATGGGAGCCCACTCGTAAAGTACATGCTCTAAATGATTATCCCAACAAAATTCAAAAAATTGTGTATTCCGGTGGGTCAGAACAAGGAGCAGAGTGTCGAATAAAAGTTACCACTTGCATATCTAGTTGGAATTCACTTTCTAACCCAAAAGCTTAAGCTGATAGATATGACTTCACCCTTCTAAAGTGTGCGTTAGTTGTATTCTTCTATATTTTTTGATGTAGGAATTCCAACATTATCCCTAAAGTGGTAACTAATTTGGCCTAGTTAGCACTTAGACAAACGGGTCTAGCATCTCAATCTCTTATAACTAGCCCACACAATGTAACGAGCGGTCATATCTCAATCTCTTTTATCCAACCCAAACCAAACCACGGATGTATAGCTTATATTGTTAACCCACGTCCAAAAAATTAATTAAGGGCGTGCATTAT